CATTCCGGAGAAATTTAAATTATAGCCAGAAACAACAATATTGTATTACCTAATATATACTAAAAATCTATTGTTTTATTTGCATTTCATAAATATATAGTAAATGGAAAGTCGTAAATCATAGTACCATTAAATAACTTTTTAAAATAAACTTATTATCTTTAACTAATATAAATACTATATCTAAATTAATATACTGTATGACTTTTCAAATGTAGTTTACCTGTAAATGGTGATTTTTCATTAACCAGTTTGCGAAAACATATTATATTAATATAGATGTTAAGAAAGTATATTAATAAGAGTTTAAATCTCAAATTATAAATAAATAATGAAGCATCAGGTTGTTATGGTTATTGGCACACAATTTATACATCTAAATTTAAATGAATATACTGTATAACATAAATTTAAATGTAGTTTACCTGTAAATCATGATTATCCATAAACCATCGACCGTCTCTTCGGCACGTGGATTTGCCATAATACTTACCTATTGATCATAATATTAGTATTAGTGTGTTTATTATGATATCGATAAAAGTGGGAATTTAAAAATACGTACCAAGTTTTATTGGTTTGCCCTTAGGATCCTTATTACGGTTATTGGCGCCGCAAACACCGCATTCATTATTATCTGCCATTGTTTTACATTTAATTTTCAACACTTATATTGTGTGACAATTTTAAAAGTAGAATCAACTGCCATTGAGTTAATACCTAATGGTTGTGATGATGGGATGTCTAGAATTGGTTTCATATCCCCTATCACTGGCTGAGTGGTCGTCATTTCAATGTCTTCACAATTGTTATTAGTCTCTGAATCGAAACTTTTCGGCGATTCATACGTGAATGAAATATTTGGTTGGAAGGGATCAGTAGTAGAGGGACCGGCAACCGGTTCATTGTTTATAGCGAGTGTGTCCGATAAGTTTGATTGAGTGGATATTATGTCTATACTACAGTTTTGACCAATAATTGACTCATTATGTTGATAGCAATTGATAAGAATTGATGGGAAAATTTACTTTTATACTTTGTAGGTCTAATGAATGTTAACTCGTAATTCATATCATTTTTCACAACATTCCTATCGATAGACCACTCGTTATATTGAGTCAACACTTCACTACATTCCAGCCTTATTTTCCAATTGAGCAAGAGCATTTTGGATAATATTTTGTATAATTTTGTCACCG